AATCACACATTAAGCATAAGCGCCGGACATGCAGTATAACAAATCATTTTATTGATGTGCATGAGGCGGATCATTCGAGCTTAAAATTTATGCTTATTGACCAACACCATAGTGAAGTACTTAAGAGTGAAAACTTTTGGATAGGAATGTTGTTGACCAACCGGAAGGGCCTTAATGGTAGTCATGATTTCGCCCAACAATAGTAATTTATTCATAATTTATTGTATATAAGTATGTTCTGTGTAAAGCTATAGGCACTCTGAAGAAGGCTGTGGCATGCAGCCGAAAATTTAGTTTTTGTATTTAATATAACTTTTTTTTAATAAACTTCTTCAAACGTAGCCGTTCTGTTTGTTACATATATATATATATATATATATATATATATATATATATATATCTATGGCCTTTAGGTCATATTGAGCGCTCTACAGGATGAGCCATGCCGCTTACGCATTGCGCACGCTCACTGCTTGCAGTTTGAGCGCTCTGGCATGGTTTGATGTCCCACAATCGTGAGGCATCAAAGGTAACTATAAATAAGAGTTACTTTCATCCTGCTCATCAGCACTACACTGATGAGGCCCATTAGGCCGAAACGGTACCGTCTGTAGTTATATATATATATATATATATATATATATATATATATATATATATATATATATATATATATATATATATATATATATATATATATATATATATATATATATATATATATATATATATATATATATATATATATATATATTAAGATGAAAATGTTCTAGAGTGTGTATTATATAATTTCCATACCCAGCGCGAGCAGAAATATGTTGTTTATGACATTCAGTATATATTTCATAATTTCCAGTCTTAAATCTGTCTGATCGTGTAGCTCAGTAGGTAGAGCGTCGATCTAGTAATTCGAAGGTTGAGGGTTCAAGACCCAGCCGCGGCAGACAACATCTTTCTACTCGCGCTGGGTATGGAAATTATATAATACACACTCTATAACATTTTCATATTCGCCGAGACGAAGTCGAGGTGAATATTCCCCGATAATCACCGAGCCTGAGGCGAATAATTGTTTTAGTATTTTTGCACAAGTTTTTTTAAATTTTGTGTTTTTCTGGTCTGAATTCATTTTAATTTCGCTCATTTCTTTATCATTAACTTCAACAAAACGGCTAGCCGCCATTTTGAAAATTTCGATTTTGTTATATTCACTTGTAGGTGAATATAACAGATTAATACGTCAAATTTGACCAATCACCTTGTAGGATTTGTTATGTTCACTTGTGCAAAAATACTAAATATATATATATTACTTTATTTTTAATCATGCAGGCAAAGAAAGTTACTTTGGGACACAACAGGGTTGGCAGCACACTGCCTGTAATTTCCATAAATCACACAAAGTTGCTGAATGGTTTCAAAAAATTGAAATGGGGACAAGAAGATTTTCGAAGGTCCGGTATTTAGTATAGATATAATATCGTAGGCATTTTTTCATACCATGGACTGGTGTATGCATAGGGCATTTGCACCACTGAGCCCCCTTCCCCAAAACTGAAAAGAGAAAACGTAAACGGCCTATTGCCCAAAGTCAGGGCCATATAGGACCTGTATATTGAGTAAATGAGTTTAACATTGAAAAGAAATTTAAAAAAACACAATGTTTTGGTAAGCATACTTAAAATTTATGTTCACGGTGTTTGAATGTTTAGCATGCATGCAATTTATTACAAATTTCACCATCAGAAGCTGAGAATTTTTTAAATGTGTTCTCAGAATGCGCGAAATGCTATTTCAGAGACCCAAATCTTAAAAATTTCATCGGACCCCCCCCTAGGTAACTCGTGCCTGCAGTACGTACTATCCTGAGGGGGGGGGCGGACCCTTTGACAGATTTGCCACACCACTGAAGAATCCTTAAACAATTCACCGATAATATATCAGCACATCTAATTGTCAAGACTATATATTGGATGTTTTCATGCAGGCCTATATATACACTTTATGTCTTTGCCTTCCTGCTTTTCACGAGGTGTTGCGTTTAACGAGCTCAGTTTACTGGCAAAACAAATATTTTTTCTTCATGCATGCATGCATGCTGGACTTGAATTAACGATTGCATGGATGTTCATGTTTTCGCATTTTACATATTAAACCAAAATCGTAAGATGTTCTCAATAAAATTCCGAATTTTGTAAAATGAATAAAAAATCCAATATATCTCTGCTCATTTTGCATGCCTCCTTTTAAATTTGTGTCAATTAAATTAAAACACTTCAATATTAACATTTAAAACAATTAAACAACTCAGCCTCGTTGTCGCTCATACATAGGGACAACTAGCTCGGCTTCGCTGTCTAATTGTTTTAGTTTAAACCTCGTAAAGAATGTATATGCCAGAACAATTGACGCGTTCTGCATATCTAAATATATGGGGTTATTTAATGTGATTCCCTGAATGCTTTTAATTCCAGATTATTCACAAGATTGTTACCAATCCCATTTGCACCAAAAAAGTCTAGCCAGTCCTTAAAGGACAGAATAGATGGCCGTTGCAAAATGGAGGACCTTATGAAGCAAGTGCGACAAAGTATAACTGTCATTATTAAATTGCACAACGACTTTGCCTCCATGACGGATGACCCTTTGTTTGATGAAATTCAAACCATCATCACTTCATACAGTTGAGAGAGAGAGATTGTACACAAAGCATGAGTATAAATATCACGTGAAAACTAGACCATTGCATGGGTCAAAAGTGAATAAATGGTAAATTCATAATCGTGTACGTTTAGATTCTGGACAAACTGGAATTGAAGGATACATTTTGGAACGGTCTTTTGTTATTTATGAGAAATGTTATGTTGCCAAAATACCAAGATATTCTATGTGGGAAATCGTTGGAGAGCTGTGAGGAAAGAGTAAAAGCAAAAGAGCAATTTTTTACAAGTCTTGAACAACTGTTCAATGCTGTATCAGAAAACCCTGAAGAGGTATATATTATAAACCAGTTTTCCACTTCAACTGTATTGTATAGCTGAACTGGTACCACCGGTATATCACTTTGTTTTCGGAGCACTCAATTAACTGATGACTGCCACACAAAAGGATGATACAATATACAGTGACACTAAATGTACATATGTCTGAAGTGGAAAACAACCTTTAGTTCATTGGAATATATATCACATCACTTAATCATGGGATTATAAAATTAATGCAAATTATTATTAATATATCTTTTAAGTATAAAGTTTGTTCGTTCACTGCAACCAGGTATATTAATCATGATTCGCTTGCTACTCTGGTTTAAATAAATTATTACACTCTATGCCGTATGTGGCGTATAATTTTTTATCTCATATGCACAAATGACAATTGATCATGCATGTAACTTTCACTATATGGTAATTAAGTTACAACTAAACTGTTTTCAATGTTGGACCACCTTAAATGGAAAAGATTTCAAGTCAACATTTAATAGTCAAAATCAAAAATTCTTTTTAATGCCTGCGTTGAAGAAGGAAGGTGTACAGACTATATGCTGATGATAGAGGTATGGCCAAATAAAAATAATAGTTGGTTTCAGGTTTCACAGCCATGTTTTATGTGGGTAGGTAGGTCGGAAAAAATTTTATTTTAAAAAAGTATTTTATCTCAAATATGCGATAAATATAAGTTAAAACTCATTATAAACTCCAGCTCTTAGTTTTTATTGTTTTTACATCAAGTTTTCACCTGCATACATATAAAACTTGACATGCAAGGTAACGAGCAACAACTAAATATTTAATGTCAACAATGTTCAGTCTAAACGTTTAAATGTCAATAAAATGTTTTTGGTCGGTCATATTTTTGACAGGTCGGTCGGAAACCTGAAACCAACTATTATTTTTATTTGGCCTATGCAAGACTGAGTGCATGCATGCCCTTTTTTATTGATTGACTATAATTACACATATTATATAGGCTAAAGGATTCTTCAAAGCCAGTGTTCGCACCAAGACTTGCAATTGCGGTGAGGTGGTTGTTATATCGTTGGCGAAAGCAGTACCGTTTGCCGATCTAAAGATGACTTCGGAAGCAATGCGGCGTTACATCCAATCAAATGGTATTGGCTGTAGAGGGAAAACAATGAGAGCGGGAAACACATCTGCCACATGTGTACATGTGAAGCATAGCAGCTTACCACCATCCTTGCTTCAAATCATTAAGCCCACATCAGGTATTATATATATATATTAATCTAAAAAATGTGTGCAATAGTACCGTTACTGGCATGCACATACGATATTGTACCGGGTTTCCAAACAAAAAAAATTGCGCTGTTTGATATAATGTAATGTAAAAACTATTAACTATTGCAATCAAATAAGTTTTATTGTATTCAGAAAGAGCTAACTTAGATTTTGATATATAATATTCGAATGTCCGTACTCCGTACACAACATTTACTGAGGTATCGAATCGATGTTTTAACTCATCGAATAAGCATATTTGACAATGTTAAAAGTTTGCATAAAATTGCCTGTCAAATATTATTTGGTTAAACTTGATATATTATTTATTGTGGCCAAAAGAATTAATGAATGAAAAGATAGTTGTTGGATAAACAATTTATTCATTCGTCTTAAAAAGTATGTCCGTTTTTTGTAATATTAAACCATTATTTTGTAAATATATATATCATACCCTGTAAATTAATTTAGATTGCTCTGAAGATGTTGTATTGTAAACAACGAAACGTTAGCTAATAAATGTTTTACTTTTATTATGTTTGGTTCAAAGTTATTTGCTGGGCTCTGCTCTTTATCTTTTTTATGTATTACTGTATAAAGCCGGTACTACTGTATTGGCAGTGTATAGTTAAAGACCATGTCAAGTCCGTAATGTGAGCGGCAAACGATATCTGTTTACATTTTGAACTGCTATATTTGTAAAATGAGACATAACTAAATATCTAACATTTTTCTGGTTCGCAATTGTAAATGAATATAAACTAGGTACGTTTCAATTCAAAAAGTTCGAAAGATCCAATGTTTATATCTCTGGGCCCCATTTGTTTATTTTGTTCTGAGCAAAACTGATACGCAGAACGGACGTGACATGGTCTTTAAGTTTTTGGTTTCTTATTTTTGGCTTTATACATTGAGTAAGTTCACTTATAGTAATATTACGGCTAGGTATATAACAAAGTACAAAAGTCGTGCACAAAGCCATATTGCGTAAACTGCGTAAATATAATCAGATCTATGTTTACGTTTTGTCGCGTGTTGGGTACGAGTTTTTCTTCCTTGACAAAAAGACCAATAAATAAGAATAGAAAAGCAGTCTTGCATTTTCGATTCAGTTTTGAACAGAGATTTTCCGAAGTTGACAAGTCTCTCTTTTCTCGCTCCGCCCCTCCGTACTACGTCATGTAATGTACACTATAGTGGATCGATACTATATGACAATGAAGGAGAGACTTGAAGCAAGTCTAGTGACACGTTGGTCAGGTGAAACCGTGAAATGTATTCTCGGTATACGCACAACGCGCAATACGAAGTAAACAGCGAGAAGAGAGCGTAAACAGCGAGAAGAGAGCATAAACAGCCAAATGAGTTCACCAAATATGACTAGGTTGGCTGGTTTCTATCTTTCTCCCAGTGTTGCTTTATCACGCCTTATCTGCTCTATCAACTATATGCTCATATGCTCGAATGGCTTGCAACATGTACGCAACGCGTACCTATTTTTAAATGTCTCATGCTTTTTTCGCTTCCCAAGAAGTATGAATACATGCATGGCTAACTTATAATAGGACATTACGCAAAATTAAATTTTACTAGTTGAATTGCAAAAATTGAAATTGTTAGTAAGTCAATTGACAATTGTTTTCATATAAATATGAATTTATATGTATATGTTATATTGTAATATATCTTATGTACCAGTAATGGTGTAATGGAATAAACATGCATGCATATATTATTATTATTATTGTTATTATTATAAATTTTATCAGACATGTTTTTCAATTTAGTTTTACTCATTTTTAAAGCATGCACCAAATATATTCAAACATTCAGGGTAGGTGATCATTTTTAGCACAGTTAATATAGTAGCCTTTCCTAAATACCATAAAATTTGTTTGAGTGCAATAGCTATTGTAGTTTTTACCTCGCATGAAATCAAACAGCACAACTTTTTTGGGACACCCTGTAACCTGTATAGGACATATCAGTTTATTTATATCATGTTACTTTAGTACTTTTAGATAACCCACCGGAATTTGCAAAAAATGATGGGAGTAGTATTCAGAAAGAAAATGAGGCAGATACTGGTAATTAAAATGCAATTTTCATAAATAATGTGCATGTTTAACTGGCTGATAGAGTATAAGAAATATCTTTCAAATTCAGTAGACTGTAAATAGCTGGGCCAAGTGTGTCTTAGATTTCTTTAAATTTTTTTTTGTGAATGGAAGATTCTTATCATTAACATAATCAATGGTCAATGCCTTCAGATGTGCCTGTACTGTGGTATTTTACTCTCTCAAACATCTGACTATTTTACTTGTCAGTTCACGTTCGGTATGGAGTTAATGGATAAATACACAAAAGTGGCCATTTACAAGTTTGATTATTGTCTATTTTATTAGATAACATGATAAGTGCACCTGTTATTCTCTTTAAGCAAATAATCCCTCTCAAGGGAATGATCTTCCACAAGATAATCTTCCTCCTGGAAACAATCGGCCTCCAAAAGAAAATGATCTTCAAGGAAATGATCCTCTAAAGATAATTGATGACCCTAAAGGAAATGATATCAATACTGGTATTTAAATATTTTTGTAATTTCCGACATCACCACCCACCCCACGAAAATTATGTAGATTAAAAACTTGAGCATATAATTGATTATTCTGCTGATGTATGAATGCAACTGATGCATCCTATCAAATGCATTCTTTTAACACTTCTACTAAATGCACGTTTTCACTCGATTATTGTACTATTTAATAACATTCAGTTAAATTAATTGACCGACGGCGAAACTCATGAGTAGCGACATGGTTGGATTAGTTTACAGACATGATTAACATTAACATTAATTATAGACAAGCCGGATTAGGAGGGTGATGAAACCAGCAGCCAGAAAGGAAGTGATTCAACAAGTAAGAAATATCAATATAAATGGTTCTTATAAATATATGTATGGCACGTGCATGGGATGCAAGTCAGCCAGTGTATGGGTAGACTCTTCATGTGAATAGGTATATTCTCAAACGACGCACCTGTAAATATAGTGCAATCTGCGTTGAACGTCTCGTTAGTGATAGCATATATTTATATCATGTAGTAATATAATCAAAAGTACCAATATATTAATGGTAGAAACCCATCATCTACTTTCAGAACAATATAAGCCGGGAAAAAGAAAACATGGTGATCTGAAGTGATTACTTGTCCAGTTATTATGAACCGAAAAAGGGAAAGCGTGTTGTAACGAAGCCAAAAAAAATGGATTGAGTCCATCGATCTATGTGAACTGTTTTTCAAGTTTGAAGACCTTTAAGTATGACAATACAGTGTATATGTATGTATATATATATATATATATATATATATATATATATATATATATATATATATATATATATATATATATATATATATATATATATATATATAATTAATGAATTTGTGTTGTGTTTGGGATTTTGTTAATTATCATAAAGAGCTGTTATAAGTTGTCATGGGCAAAATGTTGGTATTACTATACTATACTGGGGAGGGGTGTTAGCTTTCTTTGCCCGTCAAAGAAGGCGTGCCTGCGTTTTAGCGACCGATGATTAAAAGAAAACACTTTGCTATGTGGTCAATTTAAATTACAATTTTAAATATGTTTAATGTAAAAGCTACCAATTAACACAACTACGATCTTTAAATTTGTCTCACTAGATACAGTATTATAAAGTGGGAATATATGTTGGGTACCTCCAATAGTAAATAAAAGAGATCCTTTGAATTGTTTACATTTTGGAATTGAAAATAACATTCGGCTGATTCTTTTCTATAATAATATAAACATGAGGATGTGCCCGCAGAATCGGAAAAATTTATACTAACAATCGGACAAATCACAAAAGGACAACGAGTGCAGATTCAGGCACATGATAGTTTGCCTTTTTTATGTTTACCATACAAAAGCATATCACTTTACCTGAAAACATGAATTTTCTCAAGAGTGTCATACCTCGATCAGCCCCCTCCCCGCTAGTTTTGCCCATGTAAGTTGTAGGAAATTAATACAGGTATAAGATGTTTAATAAATAAGCGTCACTAAACTATAAGTTATAAATAACTGAAATTGTAGTAGTTTTATTTATATTTAAGTTCCGTAAAATGAGCATATTTAGTTAATAAAATAATTAAAGAATACGGTTAAATGCCCATGGAATAAATTTGTCAAAACGTATATCCATGCAGGTGTAAATTTTTGTATCAATTGTATGGTTTATCCAGTTGGTAGAAAATTAGAATGTGAAGGGCAATGTTGACACCGGACTAAACTTACAATGTATACTTTCGATTTTTCACCTTTTATTGTGTTCGAGTAAAAATATTAGGTTGTGTACATACTACCTAGATATAAGTATATACAGCTATTTCAATTAAGGTTGTTCACGAGCAAACCAGAAAAGGCGAATACGAGCGCGAAAGGCTGCTGGAAACCGCTTTGAAAATTCAATAATTTGTTAGCGATTTCCAGCACCCTTTCGCGCTCGTATTCGATTTTTCCTCCTTGCTCGTGGACACCCTTAATTGAAATAGCTGTTTAATATCCGAGTACATACGACATACAAGTACGAGTACATACTTAAATACGAGTATATGCAGATGTTCACGCGTGCGCTTTACAATTAACTGTGGTGTTCTCGTTGTAAAGAACGTGACCATATAACTAACCGTAACGATATTGTACATCGTAAAGCTCCAACTATAAGCCATGTGCTTATACAAGCTGTATAAAAAACGCAACCTCTTAATTTCCTAAGAAATCACTTTGCAATTCTTAATTTTAGGCCCCTGGGAATTGAAATCGAATTGCTAATAGATCTTATATCTCATTTGTGTCGGTTTTCTTTGTTCGTCCGAGGTTTATAACTAGCTTATATACCTTGAATAAATGATTAGATGAAACTTGTAGACAAAACGCGAGAATTTTTCATTAAAAACTTTTGAAAATGACAAAATATGTTGGAAAACCTCCGCAAATGAGATATAAGTTAGTTATAAACCTCGAAAGTCGGTTTATAACTGATATATTGCCCTCGGACGCTACGCGTCCTCGGGGTCAATATATCAGTTATAAACCTCCTACTCGGTTTATAACTCTAACATATTACTGTTGTTGTGCATTAAATAAATGCATAAATTTTGTTTTATCACCCGCGTGTGTAGTAATTTTGACAGTTGTGCTATTTTAAATTCCCTGGCCTCTAAAATCTTTTGTTTTGAAAACAATGTCGATTTCTTGAGAAATTCTGAGGTTGCGTTTTTTTTATACACCCTGTATTATTTTGTAAACGGGGGCTTATTTTTGGAATGGTTGAGCTTAGTTTTTCTGGTGGGCTTATACCACTGATCTAATAGTAGACTGGATATAGCTTCTCTAGGTGTGAAAAGTGAAGCCAAATTATATATGCGAAAATCACTTCCGGGGACCACGGAGTGATACAAATTACTATAGAAATGTATGGCGGACAACGTGAACCAAGGTGAATTTTCCCGAATTTGAGATACTTTGCGAAGTTTTACCAAGCTCATCGCTCCACCATCGGTAAAAGATGTTATGTTAATGCTTTTAAAACGAAAATTATCCAGATTGCCCTAAAATATCGTCAATTTTATTCGTTCAAAGTTGTCCATGCGGGAATTATATTTTATCGCCACAGTGGTATGACAACACAATTTCTAGTTTGCTTTCCAATTACGGAGACAGAATATGATCAAGCAAGCTTTTAAAGGGAAGTAAGTAGTTCATTTATCATTTATGTTTAACCTTGATCGACCAGAAGGTTTCAAACTTTCAAATTATCCATCTTAATAAGCCTTAACAAAATACATGTCTTTTATACTGTAATAGTTCTAAAGATATGTAATAAATATATTTGTACTTTTAGTACTTGTTTTTATTTGTTATTCTGTTAAACTGGAAGACAATCTTAATGAAGCTTTCTGTAGTAAGAGTGAATCTACTTTTATATTGCAGTTGAATTTTGAACTTTCAGTTGCAGAGTCAGAGTGTAATCATGGATAATACAATCCATGGCTGAGGCAGAGTGTATTGTTCATTAATTTTGATCATTTTATATATAAACGTTTGTTATTGTAAAATATTCATTGGTGCTTTTCAGCCAAACTCCCAGCATATACAGGGTGTCCCAAAAAATGTTCCCTCTGGCTCTGTTGTTGGCTAATTACTGTGAGTAAAGCCTGGTTCAGTGCTTCCATTTTCAAAATAGAAATTTCCTATTTTTGAGATCAAAATTTCTCGAAATTCCTTAGATTGTATACATAATTTCCTTGAAATTTCCTTGAAATTTCAATAAGCAGTTTGCAGTGATTTTGTACAACTGACAAACTTATATAATTAGTTTTAAAGGCACAAAATAGCACAATTAACACAGATGTGGGCTGGGTAAAAAACACAGGCTATTTTACTGTTTAAAATTAAATATTTGTTGTGATTTTACAACATATACGATTCCACTGATATAATTAATTAACTATTCACAGTGGTTGGCACCAAAAGTTACTAAATCTCATCGCTCAAAAACTTTCGGAAGTTTTCGGAAACACGAAGAAAAACTTATAAACAGATTTTTAATTAACATATTTTATAAATAATGATACTTCACTCAAAAATGTAAAAAATAGTGAAACCTTCTTCTGCACCAATGCACTGGGATGAATATTTAAAGACTATGTAAAGTCCGTAATGTAAACAAACGCTTTGTTTACATTTTGAACTCAGTGCTAGTTGTAAAATATGATTAGATATATATTATACTGAATTTTTTTAAAAACACTCTTCTGGTTCGCTATGCTTGTAAATGAGCACAGACTAGAGATTCAATTCAAGAAAGTTCAAAAGATACGAAAGATTAATAACATTCCAACGGTCGGGTACCGACCAAAACGTGTGCGCAGAACAGACTTTACATGGTCTATGACATGTCTTTAAGTTTTTCGGAAAAAATCCTTAGATTTCCTTAGATTTTTTCTCTTCCTTAGATTTTCCTTTTGGACCATAGAATTTCCTTAGAAAAGGAAATTTCCTTGAAAATGGAAGCACTGGCCTGGTTTCCATATGGTCATAAAGGTCATAAAAATAGTTGCAATTTTCTCAAAGTTCAGTATATAATAGTTTATACCTGTAAACCACATATAAATCATAAGTATTCACTAGTTATAATCCACTCTGCATATTTTCAGTTCTAAAATGTTGTATTTCGGCTGATGAGAAAGATTATGACTCGATCTTTTGACCATATGGAAACCAGGCTTTATAGTACTTAATCAACAACAGAGGGGACATTTTTTGGGATATCCTATACATGTGCCTGTGGGTTTATACACACCCCAAGCCCAGGGGTATTCAAAAAAGAAACACTGGTTGCAGTTCAAATTAACCCTTGATAAAAGAATTTTCTTCATGGCAGCAGGCTTCCCAGACCAAAAATTTCCTGCCAATTTTTTTTATAAATTTGAATTTTGGTTGTAATTCAATAACAGCGTCGTGTATTTAACAATTATTCACTGAAGGCGAGGTGATT